CATATTATATATATTCAGGTGCTACAGGTCACACCTCACCGGAAACAGGGCGATGCGGAGGTGCTCGCCACCTGGCTGGATGGATCCAATGCGAAACACACGCAGATGGACACAGACGAGAGGTGCGCGCAGGTAACACCGTTGGAACTGACACAGAAGCTCATGGACGAGGCCATCCGCTTGGGTGGTGAGCTCATACACGCCAAAGTCTGTGGAATCGAGGTATGATCAGAATGGTGCGCTCCGTGTGTCTATCAATTTCCGATGGGTACTATAGCTTACCATGGTACTGCTATTTTGAAGCCCACAGTGAAATTGGATAAGTTTGCTTTTCTAGGCGTTGTGTTGTCTAAGAAAGAATAGCGTAAAGTATAACTTTGATGCGAGTACGCTCGATACGTGGTCTTTGGTGCAGCACTGAACATAAAGACTCGGACTCTGCGTTATAGATGCTTCTCGAAACAAGGTTTTTGAAGTTGCGCCTGGATTCTTGCATATACATGACATATTTACTGACAATTCATTATGTAACTGGTTTTATACATGATATGATGATGCTGCATGCACTTCTCATCACAAATATGCAGGTCGGTGAAACTGAATCTTCAGGCAAGAAACATGCTACCGCAGTCAAGCTAATCCGACAGGGTGCTGTCAAGTATGTTAACATATGATTGCATGCTGTTATGATTCTGTCACTGCGTTACTATGTTCAATATACCGTATTCGTACGTCATACATGACCCTATGCTTACACAATGCGAAACCTAATCACCACTTTGTGTGTTCTCTCCCTGGTATTTGTAGTGTGTGAAGTCGATAGTGCTTGATCGAGCTCGAAGTAATAGTCTGTGTGTAAACTGTATGGCAGTGCTTGTTTAGAGCGAAATATAGGTGCGCGAAGTCGATATATATGCAGCGGACATGCACAAATCGATTTCTGCGTATATGAATGGATATCGGCAAGCAACTGTATAAGTTCTACATCGCGCAGCGCTGAATTCTCTTTGCAGCGCGGGTAAGGAGGTCCTTCTATACTATCAGATACTCACATGTTTAATCATTCTGCAGTGAGACCACTCTGCCCTGTGGCCAGTTAGTCGCGGCAATGGGGCCCTGGTCGGTTTTGCTAGAGGATTGGCTGGGCGTTCGACTCCCTTTAGAGGGTATCTGGTCTACCTCCATGCTGTTCAAACACCAGGGGTCAAGAGAAACAGCTATACAGCGCGAGCCTTTTGCCCTGTTTACAGGAGAGGATAGAAACGGATGCCATGTGGAGGTCTACCCACGCCCAGATGGGAGCGTGTATGTGTGCGGGTGCGGGGGGAGTGTACACATCAGCACAGGTAGGCAACATAATCTCCGGTTGACAACCGAATACCTAGGCTTTGCACGTTAGCCAAATTTCCGAGTCATGTCAGCGTAGTGCGTCCCCTCTTCCTTCTCTCCTATGGTAGTATGTTTGTTGAGTTGTGTGTATTATCTAATTCGAGCGCTGAGTGAACATGTAATCGAGTTGACAACAAAAACAGTCTGAAAGCCTTATTTTTCGGTACTTTGAGCAGAACTCATATTTTTCTGATGGAGCCAGTAGCCCTACTTATATGCGCAAAGTATAGTGCTTGAATTTTCAGTCCAACTCACTCCTGGATCTAAACCGCAATTGCCTTATTCATCACAGACGATCTCAAGGCAGGCAAACTACCCCCCTCTTCATCGGACAACCCAAACATGTCGCGTGTATCGGCTGCGATGAAGTCACTCAGTGCGTTCGCACCCACTATCGTAGAAGACCAAACAAAAGGAGACGGAGAGCGAGAAGCACATGCGTGTATGCGCCCTTGTGCACCTGATGCTCTGCCAGTGATGGGAGAGGTGCCGTGCACTGATAATGTGTTCGTTTGCTGTGGCCATAACTGCTGGTATGGGACTTATATATTCATATATTAGTATTGGGACTCTTTGCTGCGTGCTTTAATTGCTTGCGAGACGGGCTGTGAGCCTTTGTCGTATTCGTGGTGTTGAGTGGCGTGCAGGATGTAGAGTTGTCTTCTGGATTAAGGCAAATCGCCAGAACCTTTAATTTCTATACTCGCCCGTAGCGTGTGCATGAGGAGATATCGCGGAGAATTGAGTAGGACCGAATACAAATATGTATATTTAAAAATCGTCGGCCAATCGGGGATATGTGAAGCTCAGTGCGTGGTAGCTATATCCGGTCACCTCTAGTTTGTGCCACTATAAGAGTCTTTTGTGGCTATCCTATATCTACTAGAATAGTTCACCTTGACACTTTGTGCCTAAATATCGTTAATGTTGCCAATAGTTTGCCTGCGCACCCGTGTGCGGCAAACTCTCCTATCTTTCGGTAGATGCATGACCCTATCAGTATCCCTGGGGATCAATTCGGTCATTATATTCCGAATTTCGCTAGTTCCGTAGGACTGTAACAGCCTTGTGTCGAAAATTGGGTCGTGGACTACCTTGTCATGTAGCAGCTACACTTATTTATTTATTTTTGGATTCGCAGGGGTATCACTTGGGCGCCCGTGTCTGGTAAGGCTATGAGTGAGTTGATGTTAGACGGAACAGCAGAGTGTGTTGATCTGAACCCCTTCTCGCTGTGGCGTTTTAACCAGCATCTGAGAACTTCGCGAAAAAGTGCTGGCCGTGGCGGAAATGACCGTGACACCAGGAGCAGAAAGAAACAAGGTGATCCGGTCGGCGAGCGATGGTGATCTTTTGTTGCGAATATCACGCGTGAACAGTGCAGTAAGTTGTGGATGCCGACGCAAAGAACACGACACCAGGCACAGGCAGAAGAAAGATGCTCTGGTGGGCGAGCGACGGGTCGCACAAAAAATAGAATATGCACAGTATAATAGGATGCAAACTTCGATGCACAGACAGGGTAGCTATATAAAACATGAACAGGATGTGACCAATACAAAAAAAGCGGATTGTTATGGAAAGTGAAGAGACGCCAGAAGCAAGGGGATCAAAGCGCTCCGGTGTGCGAGCGATGATGACAGCAAATATTACAGTGTGAACAATACAATAAGTGGACAGTGACGGTTATGGTGACTATAAAACATACAAACACGTGAAAAGTACCATGAGAAGCGGATAATGACGGAAAGACGAGACACCAGGGCAGCAAGAATTGGAGTACTCCGCGAAGTGAGTGATAGCTACCCGGTAATAAACTCTCATCCCTAAACACTGAAACACTTACATATGAAGTACAGGTGAACACTGCTGGAAGAAAATTCACACCAGGAGTAGGGATCCGGCGGGCAAGCAGCGATAGCGTTTGATTATACAAAAGTACGGGTGCATATTAAATTGACTAGAACTCGGCACCGGCGCACCTCTGGATCTCACAGGAGCCTGACTATTATGTGTACTATATGCATATGAATATCACTACCTTGAGCTATCGAGGTTGCAAATTAAACAAGCAGCACTGAAACAAAAAAGTATCGGCATCTCCAATATCGCTCGTGATATTGTTGTGACTTGAGCAACTCTGATACAAACACAAGCTAATGATTAATTCCCACAAGAAAATGCGTCCTTCTCCTTTTCAGCAATAGGATCGAGATAGCAGTTTTATAGATGGGTTTGGCCACGAGCATTAAACTAATTCTGATTTCAATCACCTTGATCAACTATTGCAAAATCTGATTGGAAAAAAAATATTCTGGCTTGGCTATGTGAACATATCTTGTTATACCCTATGCAGTCTATTTGTATATTTTTCGTTCATCATTAATTAATTGACAACACCTATTTAATAGGGCAATGGCCTACCCGGGGAGTCTCGCGAGAGTGATCGACGCGACCGCACAGAACCCGACCTTGACCTGGAACGTGACCGTGATCGTGAGCTCGACCGGTCTCTCTTCCGCGACCGCGGCCTAGATCTGTATGCGGCTCTGTTTCTGGATCTGGACCTGGATCTAGATCGGGATCGAGACCTGGCTCGGGATATAGATGTAGCTCTAGGTCTAGACCGGCCGCGGCGACGATATGGACTGGGTGCTCGCCTGGCCAGGGCTCTGACCGGCGCCCTCGGTGGAGGCCTATTTTGAGGGGGTGCAATGAAACAGACAAGTAGACTGAGTCCTATAGTATCCGTGTGATAGCAATGAAGGTTGAAAATGGCAAATTGGAAGAAAATATGTGCGGGATATGGACCCTCTAGGCAAAATTATATATGCTTTAGCGCACTGAACTCGAGTGAAACTCCATCAAATGTTGTTCAGACCTCGCTGTCATTAGGTAACCGCGTACCTTTTAACTACAGGCATTTTCTTTGGCTCAAGCACCTTCTGGACAGATATCTGACGCCCATCGATGAAACCTGCGCTCATGTGTTCAATTGCGGAGTCTGCTTCCCTCCTACTCTCAAAATGTACATACGCCACTTCACGCGACTGAGAGTTGGTGGTTGGGGGGTTAGATGAAATCGAGCGTGAGTGAGTCAGGATGTAATGGCTATTTCAGGTGAAGCAGAATTAAGAGCTATGACAACGGCGACAGCACAAAGATTGATGATAGTGAACGTGAGTAGTATCTGGTCATCGCATTGATTGTAACGACTATTCCCTTCAAATGTACCTCCGATGTCATCATAATATGAATGCGCGGGACAATAATCCGCGTTGGTGGCCGTGTTTTGTAGGCTCTCGCTTATACGTACACCAAAAGGTAGAGCCACGTCACGTGGAAAATTCAGCTGCTAACGAGCAATACAGATGTCCGTAGATACCCATAACTTCGTATTCGCCTCTCTATATTCTGCTCATATATGTAAATGAACCTCCCTAGTATCACACATAAGCTCATATGCAAACATGTATATGCAATATACCAGTCTCGTTTGGCGGCATAAGCTCATATGCAAACATGTATATGCAATATACCAGTCTCGTTTGGCGGTCCATAGGCAGGTCAACCTTCACTACATGCCCATAAACTTCGAAGATCTCTTTGAGAGCATCTGCTGTGACATTTCTGGTCAACTCACGCACACAGAGTTTAGTTACTGGCGAAGGGCTTCGTGAGCCACTACTACTCGACCCCGAAGAAGAACTAGACGAATATCTGTGGAGGATGTGATGAACGAATCATGTTATTACACATAATTCCTGGTTTGAAAATTCCATAACACTCTGCACGTTAGCACCATCAAAACCATTCCAGTGAGTATATCAAAATTATATGCAAGATATTTCTACGATAGTGATGCGGAGCTCGGACAGCAGTAACTGACGGTTCATTTACTTGCTATAACGCGATTCTATAATGGCATCTACGAAAGGTAAACCCTGTAATATGTGATATACAAGAAAGTATATACGCCTATATATATATATGTATATATATATA